GTTTCCCCATGTCTCCTCTTTTTCCTCATGCCTCCCTTTTTCAACATGTGTCCATGGTTCACCATACTTCCTTGTTTCTGCATCCTTTTTTTATTCCCCGTATCTCCCTGTTTCCCCGTGACTCTCTTTCCCCATCTATCCTGTTTCACCAATTCTCAATGTTTCCCAGTGTCCCCCTTTCACCATGTTTCTCTGTTTCCCCATGTGTCAGTGATTCTCTATGCCTCCCTTTTTCCCCATGTCCCCATGTCTCCCCGTTTCTGCATGTTTCGTGATGCCTCCCCGATTCCGCATGAATATCAACATCTTCGTGTTTCCCTGGTTTTGCCCATACTTCCTCTTTTTCCATGTCTCCTTGTTTTTCCATGTCTCCCTTTTTCCCACTCACTCCCTGTTCACCATGTCTCTAGTTTAAAGCCTATGCCACCCGCTTGCCCCATGCCCCTCTGTTTCCCATGTCTCCCTGTTTCGAATCTTTCTAATTCTCACCCTTTTCCCCATCTCTTCCCTTTTCCCCATCTCCCTGCCTGTTTTCCCCCATATCGCCCTTTATCATCATGATTCCCTGTTTCCCCATGCCTCCCTGTTTCCCCATGCCTCGATGTTTCCCCATGCCTCCCTGTTTCCCCATGCCTCGATGTTTCCCCATGCCTCCCTGTCTCCCCATGCCTCCCTGTTTCCCCATGCCTCCCGGTTTCCCCATATTTCCATGTTACCCCATGTCTCCTTGTCAGGCCTTCTTGTTTTCCCCTGTCTTCCAATCCCCCCAAGCTTCCCCCTTTCCCCATTCTTGTCTAATACCTCCTTGTATCCCCATATTCCCCTGAATCCCCACGTCTCTCCATTACAACATGTCGCACTGATTCACCAGGTCTGTCTGCTTCCCCGTATCTTCCTGTTCCCACATGTCCCCCGACTTCCCCAACCTTCCCCTTTTCCCCATTCCTATCTGGTTTTACCTATTTCCTCTTGTCTCCCATCCCCCCAGGCTTCCCTCTTCCTCATTCTCCTCTCTTTCCACATGCCCCCCGATTTCCCCAAGCTCCCCGTTTTCCTCATTTGTTCGTGTGTGTGTGTGTGTGTATGTGCTGCACAGATTCAGCATTCTGAATATGGAATTATAGGATTTTTTCCTCAACCCTCCTCAATATTGCACTGGTTGGCAACCATGCAAATTATTTAGTGGCGTTGAAAAATAGTGCATTATTTATTTGACAGCATCTGTTGTCAGCTGCAAAAGCAAAACACAAGTCACCAATGTATCATGACGCAAAGAGTACGCTAGAAATAGTATTGCAATATTATGGCTCACTGGTATTGAGGTGGAAGCTTGAAATTGTTGATGGGATGAAAACATTATGTTTCTATGCAGTTAACTGAGTGCACCAGGTGTAAAATATATATTGTATATCTGGTTACCGTAATAAGAGAAATATGTTCATGTTGTGTTTTCAGCTGTAATTAGTGTGCACATAGATCTGAAAATGGATATTGCAAGGACTGTCAAGGCACGAGCACGTCTATAAAGGGGATTCTGGCTCGGCAGGGACCCTGGTGTGGCAGGCTGGCTTTGGTTCGGAACTTTCAAGGTCCTAAACCTCAAAGTTGGGGGCCAGTCTCGGTTGGAGGGAATTCGCTCCGAACCTCTGTGCTTGGTTGTGGGGCCTGATTTGGTGACTTCTGCCAAACTAGAGGGTAGCCCAACCAAACCACACGGTAGTGCAAGTAGGAGCCTACAGCTCCAGCGACAACCTCGGGTGCGGGCAGCCTCGCGAAATTGCCTTGGGCACTAATCGCACTGCTTTGGTTGGGAAACTTACGGCGAAACTTGAGGGTGTCTGAAATGAGTACAATGCTGTTCAAACCCTACCCAACCGTTCTACAATGACCGCGAAATGCTCTGCAAGCGAAGTCATCTCGAGCCCTGCCTTGAGAGCTCCCCGCGGCGCAACACCCACCTTTCCGTGGCTGCGTGTTCCGCTTTTCCCTCCCCAAGCCTCGAGTCTGTCTCTCTCCGCATCTCGCTGCACCTCCCTTCTCCCCCCACAGCAGCAGATCTGCCAACACCAACCAAAAGTCTGCCTACAAGTCCACCATGCCAGCCTGATATCACTCATCACAAGCTTCCACCCTGCTCGTCGTCCAAGTTCTGTTTGCTTCCTCGTTCATTCACTTCGAAATGGCCTCAGACTACCCTTCGTTGAAGCGAAACTGTCAGAACCTGCAGCGCTGGATGCTGAAGCGTCGACTACCAGATTATCGGATGCAGCCGTTTCTAACGCTGCAGCATCGCATGCTGCTGCATCAGACCCGCTCATTTCACTTCCAACGGCGGGCGCGAAGTCAGTAAGTACGGTCGTACCGTCGCGCATCCCGAAACCGACCAAGGGAGCAGCGATCAGGAGACGAGTGGAGGGAACGACACTGATTCCCAGGCCTAAATGTGCCGCACCGCACAGGGAGGTGAGGGGAGTGGAAGTCGAAGCTGCAGGCAAGCGGCCTCGCAGGACGTCCAAGGCCGTGCCGGCTGCAATCCCACGCCGGCCATGGCGCCCTTGACTGCTGCACGCATGAAAAGACGAAAAAAAAAAGAGGGAAAAAAATAGTTACTGAAGGGAAAAAAAAAGGCTGAAAGGAGGAAAGGAGGAGAGTTTGGAGTACATGGCATGTACGAACTGCGAAGCACAGCAGCACGCAAAGAGCAGAGGTTGGGAGTTTTGGGGAGGTGGGATGGGTGTGGTGTGGATGGGGAACACGGTGGCACTGCCCTTTTTTGCGCCCTGCTTCACAGCAGGGTGTTTGTGGGAGTGTGGGTGGTTGATGGCTGGAGGGGTGAGGGAAAGCTGTTGTGCTGTGCCTCCAATGCGCCGCTACTCCACGCTGGTGTTGTTGTGAGGGAATATCTCCAGCCTTGAGCGCTCCTGACGGATGGCTCCAGGCTTGAGCGCTCCTGACGGATGGCTCCAGGCTTGAGCGCTCCTGACGGATGGCTCCAGGCTTGAGCGCTCCTGACGGATGGCTCCAGGCTTGAGCGCTCCTGACGGATGGCTCCAGGCTTGAGCGCTCCTGACGGATGGCTCCAGGCTTGAGCGCTCCTGACGGATGGCTCCAGGCTTGAGCGCTCCTGACGGATGGCTCCAGGCTTGAGCGCTCCTGACGGATGGCTCCAGGCTTGAGCGCTCCTGACGGATGGCTCCAGGCTTGAGCGCTCCTGACGGATGGCTCCAGGCTTGCGCGCTCCTGACGGATGGCTCCAGGCTTGAGCGCTCCTGACGGATGGCTCCAGGCTTGAGCGCTCCTGACGGATGGCTCCAGGCTTGAGCCTTGTAGGGAGATGAGGAACCAGGCAATATGACAAGTTTCTGTAGACCCTGCCTTTGATATAGTTGCATGTTAGGCCTTGTTGTTTCCACTTGCAATCGATGATTGGATGCCTGTCATTCGCAATGTCAGCCGACTAGAAACAATCACCATACAACAATACTGCAACACACTGGCATCTACCTGTTTCCCCATGTCTTCCTATTTTCCCTTATCCCGCCTCTCTCCCTGCTTGCCTATGCCTCCCTGTTTCCCCATCTCTCCATGATTCACCGTGTCTCCCCTTTTCCCCATGCCCCCATGTTTCTGCCTGTATCGCTGTTTCATCATGTCTCCATCCCTGTTCCCCATGCTTTCCTTTTCCCCCATGTCTCTGCGATGCACCATGTCTCTTTGTTTCCCCATATCTCCTTGTTTCCCATGTGCTTGTGTTTTCCCATGCCTCTCTGTTTCTCCATGCCTTCCTATTTCCCCATGTCTCCTTGTTTCTCTATGTCTTCGTTTTTTCCCATGTCTCCCTCGTTCTTTATGCCACCCTTGTTCCCCATGCCTCCTCCTTTTCACCATCATGTCCCTAATTCCACATCTCTCCTTGTTTCACTACCGTATGTGTTACCTTTTCCCCAAGTATCCCCGTTTCGTCGTTTCCCCATGCCTCACGGTTTCCCCGTGCCTTCCTATTTAACTGTGTCTCCCTGTTTTCCCATGTCTCTCTGTTTCATCATGTCTCCACGAGTTCCTTTTTTTCTCATTCCTCCCTTTTTTCACATGTCCCCCTGTTTCCTGTTTTCCCATGCCTCCCTGTTTCCCCATGTCTCCCTGTTTCACCATTCCTCCCAATTTTCCCGTGTCACTCCCTGTTTCACCATACCTCACTCATGTCTCCCTGTTTCCCAAACCTCATGGCTTTCCCACTATACAACCTTATCTCACCATGTATCTCTGTTTCTTTGTGCCACTCTCCCCATGTCTTCCCTATTCTTCATCTCCCTGATTCCACATCTCTCCCTGTTTCACCAAGTCTCCAACTTTTTCCAAAGTACTGGTATCCCGTTTTCTCATGTCCCCCTGTTTCCCCATGTCACTCCTTGGTTCCTTATGCCTCCCTGTTTACCCATATCACTCCATGTTTTCCCATGCCTCAATGTTCTCCCATTGTAACTAAACATCCTTGTTTTCCCAAGTCCCCTCGTTTCCCCATGTCTCCTTGTTTCCCCATATCTCCCTGTTTCACCATACTTGTTTGCCCTTGCTTCCCTTATTTCACCATGTCTCCCTTCCTCTCTCACTTCACTGCCTTCCCTTCCCTAATAGCTCATGTCCCACTGTCCCTGGTACTTGTCAGCACACTAGCATCTCTGTCACCCACCTTCTAGCTCAAAAAGTAGCATTGGAACTGCGATCTGTAGTCTAAAAAAAAATATAATATTACATACTGCAGTGATCCAAAATGAATCGACCGCCAGTACTGCTCTATTACTGCCCCATTCAGAGCATTTTGAAATGAGGTTTCAAGCTTCATTTGCACACAAATCACTGGTCTACGTGGGTGTATGCATTTCTTCATGCCACATGCTTCGCCAAGTCACTCGGCCTTTACATAAAAAAAAAAAACAAAAAAATCCAGCAGCACGGTGGCTGGCAGGAAGGGCGGGTTGGAGCATCAAGGAGGCGGGCCGTCAAGGGCGGGTGGCGGGGTGGGCGAGGAGGAAGTCGGAGACAGAGAGGAAGAGGTGCGTCCCCTGCTCCACCGCCCACTGCCCCACTCCCTCCACCGCCACTTGCACCTGCAGGTGCATGGAGGGTGGTGGTGGTGGTGGTGGGCAGCATGAGGGACGGCATTCCATGCAGGAAGGGTGAAACGTGAAAGCACACAAGCTGCAGCAAGGCTGGACACATGCACTTCTTCCTCTCCCAACCCAACACACAGTGGTCGCTCACATCGCACTTGAGTTCACATCAACCGCACGGCATGGCTATGGGTGCTCACCTTGCCGCCTGCAGCGGCAATCTCCGCCTTGAGCTTGGCGGGGTCGCGAGCCATGAGCGCCACCTGCACTGCCGTGGCTGCCGCTGCCTCGCCTGACAGGGACGCAGGGAGGACGGGTGCACAGAGGGCGATGCATGCAGGGAGGAGGTGGTTGAAGGATGCATGCATGCGGCAGAACCACCTTCATTGCTGCACTTAGCTCCACGCTGACTCGAACATGTGTGCATTGGTGGAAGGCATGCAGAGGGGTGGATGGACAAGAACAAATTAAGCAACACACCAGAAGGTGAGATTGCGAAGAGTGGATTGTGGGTACTTGGAATGAAAGTGCAAATGTGTCAATGGCATGGTGGTGTGATGGCATGGTGGTGAGATGGCATGGTGGTGAGATGGCATGGTGGTGAGATGGCATGGTGGTGTGATGGCATATGGCATGGTGGTGTGATGGCATGGTGGTGAGATGGCATGGTGGTGTGATGGCATGGTGGTGAGATGGCACGGTGGTGTGATGGCATGGTGGTGATATGGCATGGTGGTGTGTGTCAGAACTTAGGCTTAGAACTGATACATTAGTAATGAGCATGAAGCTCTTTAAGTACATCCAAGAAGGGTAGGGAATGGATGGGAAAGGGAATCGGGGGCAATCCCTAGGGATTGGGGGTAATCCCAAGGCAATCTCCAATTGGTGGGTTGGAGATTGCTTGGAGATTACTTTTGGGTTTGGTTGGGATGTAGGTGTACACCCAACCAAACACAAAGTGCAAACTACACTACTCTAGGATATAGAAAATATAAAGTACAAAGTGTGAGATTGAGGGCTAACATTAACAGAGTGATGGCATGGTGGTGTGATGGCATGGTGGTGTGATGGCATGGTGGTGTGATGGCATGGTGGTGTGATGGCATGGTGGTGTGATGGCATGGTGGTGTGATGGCATGGTGGTGAGATGGCATGGTGGTGTGATGGCATGGTGGTGTGATGGCATGGTGGTGAGATGGCATGGTGGTGAGATGGCATGGTGGTGAGATGGCATGGTGGTGAGATGGCATGGTGGTGTGATGGCATGGTGGTGTGATGGCATGGTGGTGTGATGGCATGGTGGTGTGATGGCATGGTGGTGTGATGGCATGGTGGTGTGATGGCATGGTGGTGTGATGGCATGGTGGTGTGATGGCATGGTGGTGTGATGGCATGGTGGAGTGACAACAAGTTGGTGGGACAATGAAGGTGCAAGAGGACAGGGAGCAGAGCACAGCAGCCCGGCACGCATGGCAGGGAGGACACGCTGCCGCCTAGAGCCCTGTGATGTGCTCTAGAGCCCTGTGATGTGCTCTAGAGCCCTGTGATGTGCTCTAGAGCCCTGTGATGTGCTCTAGAGCCCTGTGATGTGCTCTACAGCCCTGTGATGTGCTCTAGAGCCCTGTGATGTGCTCTAGAGCCCTGTGATGTGCTCTAGAGCCCTGTGATGTGCTCTAGAGCCCTGTGATGTGCTCTAGAGCCCTGTGATGTGCTCTAGAGCCCTGTGATGTGCTCTAGAGCCCTGTGATGTGCTCTAGAGCCCTGTGATGTGCTCTAGAGCCCTGTGATGTGCTCTACAGCCCTGTGATGTGCTCTAGAGCCCTGTGATGTGCTCTAGAGCCCTGTGATGTGCTCTACAGCCCTGTGATGTGCTCTAGAGCCCTGTGATGTGCTCTAGAGCCCTGTGATGTGCTCTAGAGCCCTGTGATGTGCTCTACAGCCCTGTGATGTGCTCTAGAGCCCTGTGATGTGCTCTAGAGCCCTGTGATGTGCTCTACAGCCCTGTGATGTGCTCTAGAGCCCTGTGATGTGCTCTACAGCCCTGTGATGTGCTCTAGAGCCCTGTGATGTGCTCTACAGCCCTGTGATGTGCTCTACAGCCGTGCAACTCACTGGTGCAGAGGTCAGCAGCGAGGGACGGCGAGAAGCAGAGCGCGGGGCGAGTGAGCGTGAGTGTGAAGGTGGCGCCCGCTACCCCGCTGTAGCGCTCCGATGCCAGCACCACCTGCTCGCCATGAGGAACGGGGTGGAAGGAGGGGGGAAGGGGTGTATGTGCAGAGAGCACACGGGTTTACTTCACTCGTCCACACCCCTGCGAATAGATACAACTGAGGTGCGTACGGCATCGAAAGGGGGCCATGAGGGGGCACATATACGGCATGTGAGGGGCACATACGGCATGTGAGGGGCACATACGGCATGTGAGGGGCACATACGGCATGGGAGGAGCACATACGGCATGTGAGGAGCACATACGGCATGTGAGGAGCACATACGGCATGTGAGGAGCACATACGGCATGTGAGGGGCACATACGGCATGTGAGGGGCACATACGGCATGTGAGGGGCACATACGGCATGGGAGGAGCACATACGGCATGTGAGGAGCACATACGGCATGTGAGGAGCACATACGGCATGTGAGGAGCACATACGGCATGTGAGGAGCACATACGGCATGTGAGGGGCACATACGGCATGTGAGGAGCACATACGGCATGTGAGGGGCACATACGGCATGTGAGGGGCACATACGGCATGTGAGGGGCACATACGGCATGTGAGGGGCACATACGGCATGTGAGGGGCACATACGGCATGTGAGGGGCACATACGGCATGTGAGGGGCACATACGGCATGTGAGGGGCACATACGGCATGTGAGGGGCAGTAGTCAGCAGATAGCAGCGGCGCGCCCAATGCTTCCCGAATGTACTCCGCCTGGTGAAGGGTTGATGGGGAAAGGGCGGAAGGGAGGGCAACGCGGTGAAGCAAAGAAAGGTGAGCGGGAGAGGATGGGGAGAACGTAATGAGAGCGATGGAAGGGAGACGAGGGAAGAGAGAAGAGGGTGGGAAGAAGACAGGGATAGTAGGAGATACAACAAATGCATAAAAGAAATGCTTCAGAGCGGGGCAGTTGCAGGTGATGGCAGCAGAGGTGATGGCAGCAGAGGGAGCACCTGAGCTGCCAGAATGCGGTGCAGCGCCGACTCCTCATTGGGCTCAGCGCCCTCCTTGCCATTCTCCCCGTGCGCGCCCTCAGCACCATCGCCCCCATGCACATGAATGAATGCCTCCACCGCATCCGACGGCTCCAGCCCCGCCCGCTTGCGCAGCTTCTGCACCCTGTTCACCACCTGGTGGGAAGTAGGCCCACAAGGGGGCAGCACAGGGTGGTGGGCACCGCAAGGGGGCAGCACAGGGTGGTGGGCACCGCAAGGGGGCAGCACAGGGTGGTGGGCACCGCAAGGGGGCAGCACAGGGTGGTGGGCACCGCAAGGGGGCAGCACAGGGTGGTGGGCACCGCAAGGGGGCAGCACAGGGTGGTGGGCACCGCAAGGGGGCAGCACAGGGTGGTGGGCACCGCAAGGGGGCAGCACAGGGTGGTGGGCACCGCAAGGGGGCAGCACAGGGTGGTGGGCACCGCAAGGGGGGGACACAAGAGGGTTGTCAATGAGGGAGGGGAGGGGTGGGGGCTCAGCACGTTGTGGGGACGGGAGCGTTGACATGTGGTTTGGGTTGGTGTGGTCAGACGTGGCGCCACGGAGACGGTGGGAACAAGGACTCAGGGCTAGCGTAAGGCAGAGTGGAAGCAGCCACTACACATCCAGGCATAGTGCCAGGCTGAGTGAATACACGCACAAGGGAGAGGGGAGAGGGGAGAAGAGAAGGGAGAAATGTGCAGAGGAGCAAAAGAGAGCAGAGGAGCAAAAGAGAGCAGAGGAGCAAAAGAGAGCAGAGGAGCAAAAGAGAGCAGAGGAGCAAAAGAGAGCAGAGGAGCAAAAGAGAGCAGAGGAGCAAAAGAGAGCAGAGGAGCAAAAGAGAGCAGAGGAGCAAAAGAGAGCAGAGGAGCAAAAGAGAGCAGAGGAGCAAAAGAGAGCAGAGGAGCAAAAGAGAGCAGAGGAGCAAAAGAGAGCAGAGGAGCAAAAGAGAGCAGAGGAGCAAAAGAGAGCAGAGGAGCAAAAGAGAGCAGAGGAGCAAAAGAGAGCAGAGGAGCAAAAGAGAGCAGAGGAGCAAAAGAGAGCAGAGGAGCAAAAGAGAGCAGAGGAGCAAAAGAGAGCAGAGGAGCAAAAGAGAGCAGAGGAGCAAAAGAGAGCAGAGGAGCAAAAGAGAGCAGAGGAGCAAAAGAGAGCAGAGGAGCAAAAGAGAGCAGAGGAGCAAAAGAGAGCAGGAAGAGCAAAAGAGAGCAGGAAGAGCAAAAGAGAGCAGAGGAGCAAAAGAGAGCAGAGGAGCAAAAGAGAGCAGAGGAGCAAAAGAGAGCAGAGGAGCAAAAGAGAGCAGAGGAGCAAAAGAGAGCAGAGGAGCAAAAGAGAGCAGAGGAGCAAAAGAGAGCAGAGGAGCAAAAGAGAGCAGGAAGAGCAAAAGAGAGCAGGAAGAGCAAAAGAGAGCAGGAAGAGCAAAAGAGAGCAGGAAGAGCAAAAGAGAGCAGAAAGAGCAAAAGAGAGCAGGAAGAGCAAAAGAGAGCAGGAAGAGCAAAAGAGAGCAGGAAGAGCAAAAGAGAGCAGGAAGAGCAAAAGAGAGCAGGAAGAGCAAAAGAGAGCAGGAAGAGCAAAGAGAGCAGGAAGAGCAAAAGAGAGCAGGAAGAGCAAAAGAGAGCAGGAAGAGCAAAAGAGAGCAGGAAGAGCAAAAGAGAGCAGGAAGAGCAAAAGAGAGCAGGAAGAGCAAAAGAGAGCAGGAAGAGCAAAAGAGAGCAGGAAGAGCAAAAGAGAGCAGGAAGAGCAAAAGAGAGCAGGAAGAGCAAAAGAGAGCAGGAAGAGCAAAAGAGAGCAGGAAGAGCAAAAGAGAGCAGGAAGAGCAAAGAGAGCAGGAAGAGCAAAAGAGAGCAGGAAGAGCAAAAGAGAGCAGGAAGAGCAAAAGAGAGCAGGAAGAGCAAAAGAGAGCAGGAAGAGCAAAAGAGAGCAGGAAGAGCAAAAGAGAGCAGGAAGAGCAAAAGAGAGCAGGAAGAGCAAAAGAGAGCAGGAAGAGCAAAAGAGAGCAGGAAGAGCAAAAGAGAGCAGGAAGAGCAAAAGAGAGCAGGAAGAGCAAAAGAGAGCAGGAAGAGCAAAGAGAGCAGGAAGAGCAAAAGAGAGCAGGAAGAGCAAAAGAGAGCAGGAAGAGCAAAAGAGAGCAGGAAGAGCAAAAGAGAGCAGGAAGAGCAAAAGAGAGCAGGAAGAGCAAAAGAGAGCAGGAAGAGCAAAAGAGAGCAGGAAGAGCAAAAGAGAGCAGGAAGAGCAAAAGAGAGCAGGAAGAGCAAAAGAGAGCAGGAAGAGCAAAGAGAGCAGGAAGAGCAAAGAGAGCAGGAGAGCAAAGAGAGCAGGAAGAGCAAAAGAGAGCAGGAAGAGCAAAAGAGAGCAGGAAGAGCAAAAGAGAGCAGGAAGAGCAAAAGAGAGCAGGAAGAGCAAAAGAGAGCAGGAAGAGCAAAAGAGAGCAGGAAGAGCAAAAGAGAGCAGGAAGAGCAAAAGAGAGCAGGAAGAGCAAAAGAGAGCAGGAAGAGCAAAAGAGAGCAGGAAGAGCAAAAGAGAGCAGGAAGAGCAAAAGAGAGCAGGAAGAGCAAAAGAGAGCAGGAAGAGCAAAAGAGAGCAGGAAGAGCAAAAGAGAGCAGGAAGAGCAAAAGAGAGCAGGAAGAGCAAAAGAGAGCAGGAAGAGCAAAAGAGAGCAGGAAGAGCAAAAGAGAGCAGGAAGAGCAAAAGAGAGCAGGAAGAGCAAAAGAGAGCAGGAAGAGCAAAAGAGAGCAGGAAGAGCAAAAGAGAGCAGGAAGAGCAAAAGAGAGCAGGAAGAGCAAAAGAGAGCAGGAAGAGCAAAAGAGAGCAGGAAGGCATCAAGGAGTGCCAAGTCAGCATCACGGGCACCTCGAGAATGAATGTCCTCACCTCCCTGCCACCGCACTTGCATCACCTCGCGCGCAGTGCCGTCGTCAAGCAGGTCAGTATCACGAGCACCTCGCTATCGCCTTCTGAGTTAACTCAACAGTCCCCTTCCCCCCCTCATAGTCACACGCCTCACCTCGCGCGCAGTGCCGGCATCAAGCAGGTCAGTATCGGCGCGCAGGTCCAGCACCACGAGCACCTCGCCATCGCCCGCCGCGTCCATGTCGCCCGCCACACTGCCCTCGGGCGCCTTGAAGTCGCGCACCACCTGGTGCCACAGGTGTGAGTGATGCACGGCAGAGTTGCGGGAATGTGAGCATGTGGTAGGGGGGTGGATAGGGGTGGTGAACGGGTGGGAAGAGATGATGAAAGGTTGGAGAGAGGTGGTGAATGGTTGGAGGAGAATGAGAGAGCTGCATGGGAAGAGAGGAGGTTGGCAAAGGGTCGGGGAAGGAAAGCGGAGGAAAGTAGGAGAGTGAGAAGAGCAGGTAGAGACCTGCACCATCCTCTCTCATCCAACACCCCCCACAGCAAACTCTCTCTTCAACTCATGCCAAAAACTCACTCCCCCATCTTCCAATCAACCCCCTGCTTTACTTGCTCTATGTCCAACCATCCCACCCACCTTCCGTCTTCCGCGCCCATCGTCTCTGTCCCCCGTGCATCTCATCTCCCCCCCCCACCCCCTGCCCCTCATGTCCGCCCCCCCTGTGTGCCCACCTTGATGTCGGAAGCAGAGAGCGTGTGGCCCGCCACAGTGACCTCCCCCTTGAGCTGCATGGCAGCGATGGCCGCCGCGTCCATCTCCTTCACCGCCTTCGCCACCGCCCCCATTGCCCTCCCCACGCGCCTCCCCAACACACTGCCACGCCGCGTGCCCGTGGTGGGTGGGATGTGAGAAGAGGGAGGAGGGAGAAGTTGCATGGAGGGAGGAGGAGTACGGAGCGAATGGTGCCCTGCTTCGGCGCATGCACCGCGAGCAGACAGGCACAGTGCAGCCTTGCCTTGGCGTGCTGCGATCTCGTGTGGGAGGCGAGGCAAGGCACTCGTTAGTGTGTCTGGCAGCACGCACTGCTCTACTTGTAGTGCCCCACAACCCACTGGTGACAGTCTCCATGCACCCACCACGCGACACCGCACGACACCATGCGAAGCACAGCTGTTGCAAGCAATGCCGTTCATGCTGCTCTGCAGCACATCCACGTACACCAGTTGCTCGCTTCCACCATAGCTGCTGCAGCCAGGTTCCGCATTTCTCTGCCTATTCGTGTGGTTCGGACCATACCTGAAGTCAGGTTCGGCGCGCACGGAGGTGTACTTGCTGGTGTCGGCGCAGGGCAGCACGGAGCGCACGTTCAGCTCCTCCCGCACGTACTGATGGAGGGGAGGGGAGGGGGGGGAGGAAGGGAGGGGAGAGATGGAGTGGGGGTGAGGATGGAGGGGAGGAGGGGGTGGGGGGGAAAGGAATGCTTTGTCGACTGGCACTCTAAGCGCGGCTTTTCTTGTGAAGGATGAGTTGGTTTGCTGGGGAGAGGGCCCGGTGACGGGAAAGGTGAAAGTGGAGGGGGAAAGGAGACAGTGTGAATGAGGGTGAATCAAGTAACGATGTTCTTTGCGAATTCGTTACAGCTTAGCGTATGTGCTACACACAATTCCATGAACACGCCTCGCGTCACATATCTCGCCGCTCCTCACCTCACACAGCTTGCCGGTGATATCTTCAAGGAACAGGGCGTCCGGGTGCACCACCACCATCTCCCTGCCCGCCGCCCACACGGCACACATGCACGCACGACACGACAGGGAGGAGTTGAACAATGCGGCAGGGCATAATGCAGTGCATGTCCAAGGTCAGGAAAAAAAGTACTTGCTTTGCTGGGACGAGGTGAAGGAAGGACAGAGTTGGCATCCCGTGGGAGTTAGCCAAGCAGTTGCTGGGCTTGGGCCTAAGGGAAGGTGGTTAAATAGGTGCCGCCACTAATGCCAGTAAATATGCCTGAGTGCCACACTGGCCCAACGGCCATTTCACAAGACCGGCATGGCATGGCTGTTGCTCACCTGAGGGGCGTCTTGAGCGGGCGGTTGTTCCTCTCGCGGATGTTCCGCGCGAGGTCAATGACCTTCATCATCCTCTCCACACTGCGCTCTGTGCGCTCGTCCACCTGCCATGCATGGGAGGGAGGGGACGGGGGTGGGGGAAGGAGGGAGGAGAGGGAAAAGGGGAAAGCGAGCAGAGACACGAGCATGGGGATCCAATCAGCAGCAATCAATCTTGTTAGAAGAGAGAATTTACACATTGAATAATGAGCCAGGAGGCCCTTTAGTACAAACAATGAGCAAGAGAGAGATGGGAAGGAAGCTTACCCTATTGGCCAATAAGTTGGCCAATGGGTGAGCTTGCTTGTGGCCCAAGCAACCGCAAATGTATGTTGTTTGGTTGAGCTAAGGACCAATCCCCACCAACCACAAAATGTGGTTGGAGGGTACACTAAACAACCCCCCAATTTATAAGAGTGCTACACATCTAATTCTAGCCTATGTATGTTGCATAAAATATGAAATTACAACAAATCTGCTGTGCTGCACGCATGCAGGAAGAAGTGCGGGAGAGAAGAAGGTGCAGGAATAGGTGGGAGACGGCAAGCAAGGATGAGGCCATGTTTGAAGCGAGGGTGTTGTGTTGCACTGGAAGACTTAATGAGTGCCTTGTGTGGAACAGTGGAAGCACATGAGCTGCTGCAGAGTCGTCCTGTAGCTGCTGCTTATCCAACATGACCTAGCATGCTTATCACCAATCGCTCACATGGTGATCACCAATCGCTCACATGCTTATCACCATCCGCCCCAACCCCGCAAGCTCATCACGCGACTCACGTGCTGGTCGGAGGAGGGGAAGCAGCAGAAGTGCACCGACTCCTCCGCCCACTCCACATGCTCCTCGTCCTCCGCCACCCCCCCCAGCCCCTCACCCTTCCCCGCCCCGCCATCAGGTGCAGGGGACCGTTGCGGCAGGGCGTTGCGGAGGTTCTGGTACATGGCCTCGGTGAAGAATGGCGTGAAGGGCGCCATGGCCTTGCACACCCTCAGCAGCACCTGCCATTGGGGGTTGGGAGGGGGGGTGTGGAGAGGGGGAGGACAGTGGTAAAAACAAGAAGGGCGGAAGTTGAGGGAGGCATGAAGGAGTATAGAGGGGAAGGATGTGGTGCTACGAAAAGTTTTCGCATGGAATAGAGGGCGTTCGGTGCATTCATGTGCGTCAAGTGAGGTAACCATACCCGGGAGGTAATGGCATCAGCAACAAGACATGGAAGAGCGAGTGACATGGAAGAGGGAGGAGAGGAACTGACATGGAAGAGGGAGGAGAGGAACTGACATGGAAGAGGGAGGAGAGGAACTGACATGGAAGAGGGAGGAGAGGAACTGACATGGAAGAGGGAGGAGAGGAACTGACATGGAAGAGGGAGGAGAGGAACTGACATGGAAGAGGGAGGAGAGGAACTGACATGGAAGAGGGAGGAGAGGAACTGACATGGAAGAGGGAGGAGAGGAACTGACATGGAAGAGGGAGGAGAGGAACTGACATGGAAGAGGGAGGAGAGGAACTGACATGGAAGAGGGAGGAGAGGGACTGACTGTTAGATTGTAGCATCAGTTGGGTTGTAAATGTGCAAGTGTAACACCCAAACATGGGTGTACACTTTGGGCCAAGGCGACCCAACCAGTTTTGGTTGGGTGCACCCCAGCCCCACTCAGCCGCAATTGGCGGGGGGAACCAACATTGGTTGGTTCGTTCCAACCATTATTGCCCCCCCCCCCCAATAATTGGCGGTCACCTCCAAAACATTATTGGTGGCTACTCCCATTGGCTCACCAATAATGCCGCGGGTACCCAACCTAGTTCCCCATACTTTTCATCTCCTATATGTACCCACAATCTTTCTAATCAAACCAACACTTCAGTTTCTCACATGGTAATCAGAGCAACTACGGCTCACACCATCTTCGATCCTAAGGACCGCACCTTCCGCGTGCCGCATCACGCCCCCCTCCCTTACGCGACGCTACGTCGCTCTTTGCGCCTAGTGCGCTCCTACGCCGTCACGGCCCCCCTCCCCTTGCGCTAAAGTTCCAGCGCCCCTCCCCCCTTCCTACGGTCAATTTCTCCTCTCACAGCCCTCCCCTCTCTCCCACGAACGCGCCCACCGTCGGAACGGCCACGCCAACCGTCGGAACGGCTAGCGCGACCGTCGGAACGGCCAGCGCGACCGTCGGGACGGCCAGCGCGACCGTCGGGACGGCCAGCGCGACCGTCGGGAAGGCCAGCGCGACCGACGGGACGGACAGCGCGACCGTCGGGACGGCCAGCGCGACCGTCGGGACGGCCACGTTGACGGGCGCCACTGCCACGACGAACGCGGGCGCTCGTCGTGACCTAATCCGCCGCCGCCACTGCATTTCGCCGACGCGGAGCAATCTTCCGCCCACGCGACCTGCTTTCGTCGCCACCACACCCTTACATAGCCGCCGCGGTCTCATGTCGCGGCCTCACGCCGTCGCGATGTCCCATCGTCGCCGCCTGCTGCTGCCGCGACCCTTACGACGACGTCACCGCCGCTCTCACCTCCGCGGCCACGACTACTAGCCGCCGCCAACTCACCCCACACTCCCACCGCCTCCTCCTCTCCCCGCTCTCCTCCTAAGGGCCATCCAGCCCTCATCTCCCCCTCGCTTCCTCCTCCTCAGGGCATTTCAGCCCTCCTCCCCCCTCGCTTCCTCCTCCTCAGGGCATTTCAGCCCTCCTCTCCCCCCTCGCTTCCTCCTCCTCAGGGCATTTCAGCCCTCCTCTCCCCCCTCGCTTCCTCCTCCTCAGGGCATTTCAGCCCTCCTCCCCCCTCGCTTCCTCCTCCTCGGGGCACTTCAGCCCCCCCCTCGCTTCCTCCTCCTCAGGGCACTTCAGCCCTTCTCCCCCCTCGCTTCCTCCTCCTCAGGGCATTCCAGCCCTCCTCCCCCCCTCGCTTCCTCCTCCTCAGGGCACTTCAGCCCTTCTCCCCCCTCGCTTCCTCCTCCTCAGGGCACTTCAGCCCTCCTCCCCCCTCGCTTCCTCCTCCTCAGGGCACTTCAGCCCTCCTCCCCCCTCGCTTCCTCCTCCTCAGGGCACTTCAACCCTCCTCCCCCCTCGCTTCCGCATCTCCCCTCGCTTCCTCCTCCTCAGGGCACTTCAGCCCTTCTCCCCCCTCGCTTCCTCCTCCTCAGGGCACTTCAGCCCTCCTCCCCCCTCGCTTCCTCCTCCTCAGGGCACTTCAGCCCTCCTCCCCCCTCGCTTCCTCCTCCTCAGGGCACTTCAGCCCTCCTCCCCCCTCGCTTCCGCATCTCCCCTCGCTTCCTCCTCCTCAGGGCACTTCAGCCCTTCTCCCCCCTCGCTTCCTCCTCCTCAGGGCACTTCAGCCCTCCTCCCCCCTCGCTTCCTCCTCCTCAGGGCACTTCAGCCCTCCTCCCCCCTCGCATCCTCCTCCTCAGGGCACTTCAGCCCTCCTCCCCCTCGCTTCCTCCTCCTCAGGGCATTCCAGCCCTCCTCCCCCTTGCTTCCTCCTCCTCAGGGCATTCCAGCCCTCCTCCCCCCCTCGCTTCCTCCTCCTCAGGGCACTTCAGCCCTCCTCCCCCCTCGCTTCCTCCTCCTCAGGGCACTTCAGCCCTCCTCCCCCCTCGCTTCCGCATCTCCCCTCGCTTCCTCCTCCTCAGGGCACTTCAGCCCTTCTCCCCCCTCGCTTCCTCCTCCTCAGGGCACTTCAGCCCTCCTCCCCCCTCGCTTCCTCCTCCTCAGGGCACTTCAGCCCTCCTCCCCCCTCGCTTCCTCCTCCTCAGGGCATTTCAGCCCTCCTCCCCCTCGCTTCCTCCTCCTCAGGGCACTTCAGCCCTCCTCCCCCCTCGCTTCCGCATCTCCCCTCGCTTCCTCCTCCTCAGGGCACTTCAGCCCTTCTCCCCCCTCGCTTCCTCCTCCTCAGGGCACTTCAGCCCTCCTCCCCCCTCGCTTCCTCCTCCTCAGGGCACTTCAGCCCTCCTCCCCCTCGCTTCCTCCTCCTCAGGGCATTCCAGCCCTCCTCCCCCTCGCTTCCTCCTCCTCAGGGCACTTCAGCCCTCCTCCCCCTCGCTTCCTCCTCCTCAGGGCATTTCAGCCCTCCTCCCCCTCGCTTCCTCCTCCTCAGGGCATTCCAGCCCTCCTCACCTGCAGCACCCCTTGGCTTGCTTGCCTCCTCACCTGCAGCAGCCCCCCTCCCGGCTCGCGTGCGACCTCACCGCCGCAGCACCCCTTGGCTTGCTTGCCTCTTCACCTGCAGCAGCCCCCCTCCCGGCTCGCGTGCGACCTCACTGCCGCAGCACCCCTTGGCTTGCTTGCCTCTTCACCTGCAGCAGCCCCGCTCCCGGCTCGCGTGCGACCTCACTGCCGCAGCACCCCTTGGCTTGCTTGCCTCTTCACCTGCAGCAGCCCCGCTCCCGGCTCGCGTGCGACCTCATCGCCGCAGCACCCTTCGGCTTGCCTGCCTCCTCACCTGCAGCAGCCCCCCTCCCGGCTGGCGTGCGACCTCACCGCCGCAGCACCTTCGGCTGGCTTGCAACCTCATCTGCAGCAGCCCCCCCTCCCGACTTGAAGATTCAGGGGTTGTGCACATTTACACCCTTCTTCTGCTAAGGGGTTGTGTTAGATTATAACATCAGTTGGGTTGTAAATGTGCAAGTGTAACACCCAAACATGGGTGTACACTTTGGGCCAAGGCGACCCAACCAGTTTTGGTTGGGTGCACCCCAGCCCCACTCAGCCGCAATTGGCGGGGGGAACCAACATTGGTTGGTTCGTTCCAACCATTATTGCCCCCCCCCCCCAATAATTGGCGGTCACCTCCAAAACATTATTGGTGGCTACTCCCATTGGCTCACCAATAATGCCGCGGGTACCCAACCTAGTTCCCCATACTTTTCATCTCCTATATGTACCCATAATCTTTCTAATCAAACCAACACTTCAGTTTCTCACACTGACATGGAAGAGAGAGGAGAGGGACTGACATGGAAGAGGGAGGAGAGGGACTGACATGGAAGAGGGAGGAGAGGAACTGACATGGAAGAGAGAGGAGAGGGACTGACATGGAAGAGAGAGGAGAGGGCGAAGCGGCAGTCTTGATCATCGGTGCGGCCCTTGAGGCGCTTGCGGTTGAAGCGCACGTACACGTTGGTGAGGCTGTCGATGAACCGCACCAGGTATGGTACCACCTGCCGCAGGAGTCATGGGTCATGTGTGGCAGGGGTGGTGGGAGGGAGGACAAGCGGAAGGAAACTGAGGTCATGAACTCGCGCCCGGGATGCGAGCAGGGATGCGCCACTGTAACTTCCCTGCTCGCATAAGCTGTCTGCTCGTTGCGACTTGCTCTGAAGCAACGTTGAAAAAGCTGAGTCAAGTGAGTGGACAGCAGGTCAGGTCAGACCCTCGTTGGCGAGAACACGAGCAACCAAGCTCACTGGTCAGCGACTGCACAAGGCAGCATGTGAGCGAGACAGCACTGCATAGCACACTCACGGTGCTATGCGGCACCGCACAGCTCATGGCCCTAATGTGGCCCACTCACGGTGTAGAGGCGGTACGCGTCCATCTCAGCGCGCACGAATGCCGCCAGGCTCTGGCTGGCGGAGTGGATCCACACGTCCAGCACGTTGCTGCTCCCCGCCAGCTGGCGCGCCGTCATTGGCTGGAAGGGCGGCAGCCCCTCGGAGGTGAGGCGCAGCGTGTTCTGCACGAGGAAGCGGTACGCGTTGTACCACGGCAGGAACACATCGCGCACCTGCCGAAGGAGGGGGGGAGAGGAGGGGGGGGGGGGGGTGAGGGGGCGAAAGGGGGGGGGAAGGGGGCGAAAAGGGGGGGAGAAGGGAAGCGATGCAGGCAGAGCATTAGTGGTAGGCGATTAAGTCGGGAAGGAGAGGGAAGAGCACTGGAAACAGGTAGACCAACCGGTGGGAGGGCAGAGAATTACTAAGAGATTCCAGGGCATGCACATGCCCCTCCTCTGTGAGAAGGCCGAGGAGCATGGCGACAAGGAATTGTGCACATAAGTGTTACCACCATTCACCACCCGTTGCCACCTCACACCACTCCGCACCAGCACAGCTCACCACGGCGAAGACGCCTTCCTTCTTGAAGCGCAGGGGCTCGGCGCGCACGACGGGCGAGTTGATGAGGTAGAGGCGCAGCGCGTCCGCACCGTACGACCCCACGACGTCCATGGGCGGTGGGTAGTTGCGCAGGCGCTTGCTCATCTTCTTGCCGTCCTCCGCCAGCACCAGCCCGTTGCAGATCAGATTGCGGAAGGCGGGCTTGTTGAAGAGAGCGGTTGACAGCACCATCAGCGTGTAGAACCTGCAAAAAGGGGGGGGGTGGGGTGCAGAAGGCAGGAGGAGGAGGGAGGCGGGGATGGGATGGGACATGTGGGGGTGCGGAAGGCTGGCTTGTTGAAAAGCGCTGTTGACAGCACCATTAACGTGTAGAACCTAAGAGGGCGGAGAGGGGGGTGGGTTTATAGGAACGCAGGGGGGAGGAGGGAAGAGGAGGGTGGGGGAGGGAGGAGGGGATGGGACATGTGGGGAGAGGGTGATCCCCATTACAGCACAGCACGTTGCACATAGATGCGCCGTTGGCAGCACCATTAACGTGTAGAACCTAAGAGGGACGGAGGTGAGGGGAAGGGGTGTGGTGGCAGGAGGGCAGGGGGGAGGAGAGGGGAGGGGATGGGACATGAGGGAGGGGATGGGACATGAGGGAGGGGGAATGAGGGCAAAAAGGGCAAGTGGGCACAAAGTGGTGAGGGTGAAGGAGAGTCGGAGTGGAGTGGAGGAAAGGCCTGAATGACGAGACGGGCCTGGCCATGAACCCGAGACAAGGCCCACAAGGCGAGGTGCGCGTGGAGTGTGGGTGTTTGACCTTGGCTGGCACCGTCCAGAGCATCAGCTGGTGTGAGCAAAGTTCTTCCGACTCAAATGAACCCCCAACCTTCCCACATGCATGCGCCCTCACCACCCCACATGTCATGCCTCACCACCCCACATGTCATGCCTCACCACCCCACATGTCATGCCTCACCACCCCACATGTCATGCCTCACCACCCCACATGTCATGCCTCACCACCCCACATGCCATGCCTTCCCATCCCACATGCCATGCCTTCCCATCCCACATGCCATGCCTTCCCATCCCACATGCCATGCCTTCCCATCCCACATGCCATGCCTTCCCATCCCACATGCCATGCCTTCCCATCCCACATGCCATGCCTTCCCATCCCACATGCCATGCCTTCCCATCCCACATGCCATGCCTTCCCATCCCACATGCCATGCCTTCCCATCCCACATGCCATGCCTTCCCATCCCACATGCCATGCCTTCCCATCCCACATGCCATGCCTTCCCATCCCACATGCCATGCCTTCCCATCCCACATGCCATGCCTTCCCATCCCACATGCCATGCCTTCCCATCCCACATGCCATGCCTTCCCATCCCACATGCCATGCCTTCCCATCCCACATGCCATGCCTTCCCATCCCACATGCCATGCCTTCCCATCCCACATGCCATGCCTTCCCATCCCACATGCCATGCCTTCCCATCCCACATGCCATGCCTTCCCATCCCACATGCCATGCCTTCCCATCCCACATGCCATGCCTTCCCATCCCACATGCCATGCCTTCCCATCCCACATGCCATGCCTTCCCATCCCACATGCCATGCCTTCCCATCCCACATGCCATGCCTTCCCATCCCACATGCCATGCCTTCCCATCCCACATGCCATGCCTTCCCATCCCACATGCCATGCCTTCCCATCCCACATGCCATGCCTTCCCATCCCACATGCCATGCCTTCCCATCCCACATGCCATGCCTTCCCATCCCACATGCCATGCCTTCCCATCCCACATGCCATGCCTTCCCATCCCACATGCCATGCCTTCCCATCCCACATGCCATGCCTTCCCATCCCACATGCCATGCCTTCCCATCCCACATGCCATGCCTTCCCATCCCACATGCCATGCCTTCCCATCCCACATGCCATGCCTTCCCATCCCACATGCCATGCCTTCCCATCCCACATGCCATGCCTTCCCATCCCACATGCCATGCCTTCCCATCCCACATGCCATGCCTTCCCATCCCACATGCCATGCCTTCCCATCCCACATGCCATGCCTTCCCATCCCACATGCCATGCCTTCCCATCCCACATGCCATGCCTTCCCATCCCACATGCCATGCCTTCCCATCCCACATGCCATGCCTTCCCATCCCACATGCCATGCCTTCCCATCCCACATGCCATGCCTTCCCATCCCACATGCCATGCCTTCCCATCCCACATGCCATGCCTTCCCATCCCACATGCCATGCCTTCCCATCCCACATGCCATGCCTTCCCATCCCACATGCCATGCCTTCCCATCCCACATGCCATGCCTTCCCATCCCACATGCCATGCCTTCCCATCCCACATGCCATGCCTTCCCATCCCACATGCCATGCCTTCCCATCCCACATGCCATGCCTTCCCATCCCACATGCCATGCCTTCCCATCCCACATGCCATGCCTTCCCATCCCACATGCCATGCCTTCCCATCCCACATGCCATGCCTTCCCATCCCACATGCCATGCCTTCCCATCCCACATGCCATGCCTTCCCATCCCACATGCCATGCCTTCCCATCCCACATGCCATGCCTTCCCATCCCACATGCCATGCCTTCCCATCCCACATGCCATGCCTTCCCATCCCACATGCCATGCCTTCCCATCCCACATGCCATGCCTTCCCATCCCACATGCCATGCCTTCCCATCCCACATGCCATGCCTTCCCATCCCACATGCCATGCCTTCCCATCCCACATGCCATGCCTTCCCATCCCACATGCCATGCCTTCCCATCCCACATGCCATGCCTTCCCATCCCACATGCCATGCCTTCCCATCCCACATGCCATGCCTTCCCATCCCACATGCCATGCCTTCCCATCCCACATGCCATGCCTTCCCATCCCACATGCCATGCCTTCCCATCCCACATGCCATGCCTTCCCATCCCACATGCCATGCCTTCCCATCCCACATGCCATGCCTTCCCATCCCACATGCCATGCCTTCCCATCCCACATGCCATGCCTTCCCATCCCACATGCCATGCCTTCCCATCCCACATGCCATGCCTTCCCATCCCACATGCCATGCCTTCCCATCCCACATGCCATGCCTTCCCATCCCACATGCCATGCCTTCCCATCCCACATGCCATGCCTTCCCATCCCACATGCCATGCCTTCCCATCCCACATGCCATGCCTTCCCATCCCACATGCCATGCCTTCCCATCCCACATGCCATGCCTTCCCATCCCACATGCCATGCCTTCCCATCCCACATGCCATGCCTTCCCATCCCACATGCCATGCCTTCCCATCCCACATGCCATGCCTTCCCATCCCACATGCCATGCCTTCCCATCCCACATGCCATGCCTTCCCATCCCACATGCCATGCCTTCCCATCCCACATGCCATGCCTTCCCATCCCACATGCCATGCCTTCCCATCCCACATGCCATGCCTTCCCATCCCACATGCCATGCCTTCCCATCCCACATGCCATGCCTTCCCATCCCACATGCCATGCCTTCCCATCCCACATGCCATGCCTTCCCATCCCACATGCCATGCCTTCCCATCCCACATGCCATGCCTTCCCATCCCACATGCCATGCCTTCCCATCCCACATGCCATGCCTTCCCATCCCACATGCCATGCCTTCCCATCCCACATGCCATGCCTCCCCACCCCACACGCCACGCCTCACCAGCCGCGGGTCTGGTCGAGCCCCTCGGCAATGAAGTGGCCGGGGAAGTTCTTCTCAAAGAGCTCCTTGTTCTCAAACGGGTAGTGGATGTACGCATACGGCATGCTGCCACTCTCAAACCAGCAGTCAAACACCTGCCAGCCAGGTACAGCGGGAGGATGTGGAAAAGGTGAGGCGGAGGGGGTTTGGTGTGGAGAGTACAGTGGCGGGTGCAATGCAAGGTCCAGGCGCAACAGGCCTTGCTGTCACGCACACAACCCCCCTCCTCACTCCCCCCACCCCACGCTGTCCCAACAGCACGTGCGAGAATTGCGAAAACAAGGGACCAGGTTCACCCACAGCCCCACGCCTCACCCACAACCCCACGCCTCACCCACAACCCCACGCCTCACCCACAACCCCACGCCTCACCCACAGCCCCAATCCTTCCCCCCCCGGCAGCACTCACATCCTCAATGCGTTTGAGCCTTGGGTGGTCCGCCCCCTTGCTGCTGGGAATGGTGATGTGGTCGATCTTGTGCCGGTGCAGGTCCGTCACGCGCTCGCCCCCCAGCGCCTCCAGCTCCGCAATGCTGCCCACCACCCTGATCTCACTCAGGTCCGCATTGGCCCAGATGGGCAGCGGCGTGCCCCAGAAGCGCGAGCGGCTGACGGCCCAGTCGCGCGCGTTCTCCAGCCAGTTGTGGAAGCGCTTCTCTTTGACGTAGTCCGGCACCCACTGCGTGCCCGCGTTGCTCTCCAGTAGTGCCGGCTTTATCGCCTCCACCGCTATGAACCTGGGCGAGGGGGAGCAGAGAAGGGAGGAGAGAGGGGGAGGAAGAGGGGACGGGCGGAAAGGGAAGGGGGGCGTAGAGGGGGGAAGAGCAGGGGCGGAAAGCGGGGAAGGTAGGGAGAGGGGGGGCGGAAAGGGTGGGAGAGGGAGAGAGGAGGGGGATATGGAGCCCGTACAAGGGAAAGGGAAGGGGTGAGTGGGGTATGGGAATATGGGAGATGGGAAGTGGGTAGTGGGTGAGAGGGGAGTGGGTATAGGGAAGCATAAGCTTGGTAGAAAGGAAAAAGGTTCAGGAGGCAGGGGAGAGGAGGAGAAGAGTGGAGAGGAGAGGGGAGGTGAGGGGAGGTGAGTAGCGGAAACGAGCGGAGAGGCGAGAGAGAGGTGAAGGGGGGAAGAGGGTGGCTGGCGTACCAGGTGGGCACAGTGAAAGGAAGGGGGGTGGCGCGCTTACCAGCTGGGCACGGCGCGGTAGATGAGGGGCGTGTCGGAGCGCCAGCAGAAGGGGTAGGAATGCATTATGCTCCCCACACTCACCACCCTCCCCGCCTCCTACTCGCACCGCGCAAGAGATGAGTGGGGGGAGGAGGGGAAGGGGGATGAGTGGACCATCCAGTGGGCAATTACGAGCACATCACAAAGTCACAAGGAACAAGCACGGTTACACGGGGCCATGAGTGGACGGGAGGGAGGGAACAAAGTGGAAAGAAGGAGCATGAATAATTGGTGGTGAATCGCAACGCTAGCGCTAACCTCCCCACCTTGAGCATGGCGAGGATGGGCTTGTCACCTTGAGCATGGCGAGGATGGGCTTGTCGGCATCCTTCACGTACACCCCCTTGAAATCCGTCACCTTGTCCGTGAACCGCCCATCGTCATCCACTGGATTCGGTATCGCCTCACCCTGCCGTGGTGCATACAGCCATGCACCCATGCACCCATGCACCCATGCACCCATGCACCCATGCACCCATGCACCCATGCACCCATGCACCCATGCACCCATGTACCCATGCACCCATGCACCCATGCACCCATGCACCCATGCACCCATGCACCCATGCACCCATGCACCCATGCACCCATGCACCCATGCACCCATGCACCCATGCACCCATGCACCCATGCACCCATGCACCCATGCACCCATGCACCCATGCACCCATGCACCCATGCACCCATGCACCCATGCACCCATGGAACCATGCACCCATGCACACTTGCACCCATGCACCCATGCACCCATGCACCCATGCACCCATGCACCCATGCACCCATGCACCCATGCACCCATGCACCCATGCACCCATGCACCCATGCACCCATGCACCCATGCACCCATGCACCCATGCACCCATGCACCCCATGCACCCATGCACCCATGCACCCGATGCACCCATGCACCCATGCACCCACGCACTTATGCAGCATGCATGCAAGCGGCACAGACAAATGAATGGATGTACAGTGGCAGGAATGCAGCAGGCACGGAGGGGTCACAGGCGGGAGGCGGTAAGGTGGCGGCACAGATTAGTGCAGTGCAGGCAGTCACTTGCTCCACATACCATGCACCGGCCTGTACTACTGCACCGCACGGACCGCATGGCATTGCACGGCACGGCACAGCACAATAGCAGGGCAGCGCAGAGCAGTGCAGAGCAGGAGGTGGCGTCCCCGAGAGAGTGTGCGAGCGGGGTGAGTGAAGAGAGAGCCCAGGCGACAGGAGGGCCACATGAGGGGCGAGCACGTGTGTGTGTGGTGTGTGATGTGGGGGCGGGCGCACCTTGCCGATGATCCCTGCAGCCAGGCACACGCGGTAGTCGTCCTCCCCAAAGGCGGGCGCGCAGTGCACCACGCCCGTGCCGCTGTCGTCCGTCACAAACCCATCCGCCACCACATGGAACGCAGTGGGCATGGCCTCCTTGTAGTACGGAAACATGGGCTCGTAGCTGCACGCATGGGGGGGGGGAGGGGAAGAGGGAGAGAGCGGGAGGGAGAGGGCTTTTGGGTCGACTTTAAAGCCATCCGCCACCACGCGGAACGCACTGGGCATGGCCTCCTTGTAGTACGGGAACATGGGCTCGTACCTGCACGCATGGGGGGGGGCGGGAGAAAGAGTGGAAGGGTCGGGAAAGGGGGGAAAGCTCGGGAGAAGATTTGGGTTGGGTGGGCACCCGAATTGACGCAAATTGATGAACGCATGTGGACAGCACTGTGTGTGGGCGTGCGTGCAGTGCAGGGGGCGAGAGAGGCGGCACGCACGTGAGGCCCACGAGGTCAGCGCCAGTGACGGTGGCGATCACCTCATACAGCGACTCATCCAGCCCCTCCACTCCCCCGCCCCCTGCTGCCGCCCCCCCGCTCTGCTCCTTGCTGCCTCCGCCCTTCTTCCCCCCTCCCTTGCCGCCCTTCCCCTTCTCTCCGCCACCTGCCTTGCCTCCCTTCGCCTCTCCCTTCCCCTTCTCCTCCCCTGCTGCCTTCTCCTCCACCTTTGTCTCCCCCTTGCCCTCCCCCTTGGCCTTCTTGCGCCCAGGCAGGGCGCAGAGGCGGGACTGCGCCAGCATGAGCACGGCGCCCGTGTCACGGTTGCGCACCTGAGGGGAGTGGGGGGGGTAGAGCACACCGCAGGCCGCATAGGGCTGCTTGGTTGGTACACCATGGTATCGACCTAGTAGAGTACAGTGTTATTTTCACAAGGAGCGTGCAGTAGGGCGTAGCATGGTATGGATAGAGGAAAGTGTTGCGGAGTACAGGGTGATGCCGTATGGTATCGTATCATCGCATCCAGTATGGACTGAATGGTATGATGGGGTATGGCGCTTATCATCGTCGTACAGAATGGTGCCGCATAGCATGGTATAGTAAGGTGTGGTGTGGTATTCTATTGCTAGCACGTCGGAGAGAAATGGTACGGGATGGTGTGGTTAACGATGCAGTGCGTGTGCGGTGGCCCAGAGGCAGGGAGGGCACCTTGCAGTAGGAGAAGGAGGGGTTGACACAGAGAGCAAGGTTGGAGGGCAGCGTCCAGGGCGTGGTGGTCCATGCCACCAGTGCCGCCCCGTCCGCATCCCCGTGCAGCGGGAACGTCACCACCACCGCTGGGTCCGACACGTCCTGTGCTCCCCGGGTGGGTGGGGCGTGAGGGAGCAGGTGAGTGGGATATGAGAGAGAGGATGCGGTATGATGAGGGAGGGAACACGACATGACAGTAGGGGCTGCACACATAGCAGCGAGGTGAGAAATGGGGCAGCGGAGCGCAAAAGCATGTGTGCATCAATGGCGCCCACCTTGTGGGCATGAGCGCTGCTCACCTTGTAGTTGAGGCCGGCTTCGAAATTGGAGAGCGGGGTGTTGCAGGCGGTGGAGAAGGGCATGACCTTAAAGCCCCGGTACACGAGGCCCTTGGCGTAGAGCTGCGAGAAGACCCACCAGCACGACTCCATGTACCCCGCATCCAACGTCTTGTAGTCGTTGTCAAAGTCGATCCAACGGCCCACGCGTGTGATGATGTCACGCCACTCGGACGAGTAGCGCATGACAATGCTGCGACACTCCTCGTTGTACACGTCTATGCCCATCCGCGTCACCTGCCATGCCACCACACGCATACCATCACACCGCACCACACCCATACACGGCATGAAATGCACCCCCACACGCACGGAACAGGAGTGCACACCACAACAGCGCAATTACCCTGTTCATCTTGACTGGGAGTTTAAAAAGTACTTCACTTCGTGGGTCACATATGTGAGGGGAATTCCATGGCCAGCCCTCAAAATATCCAGGTCACTCTGGGTGGGTCCCTCTCAGACATTCCGTGGATGTCATGTCAGGGGGAGTCAAGCGTTTTGACAGCCGTCTGGTCTCGCTCACCCCTTCTCCCAAACCATCCCCTCCCTTGCATGCCCAGGGTTCGGTCACGTGCTGCTATTCTCTCTCACATCACTCAGACCTCGTGCCCACCCCTCCCCCCTGTGCTTCCACCACCCGCTTCGAATCTGAAACCTGGCGCCCGCCCGCCCTGTGAGAGCAGCGCTCCCAGGCCACCAGCGTACGGTGGGATCCCCTCTCGCACCACCCAGCTACCACGAGCTGTGCTGGACCGGACACCACTCGCCACTCCGCCTACCCAGCAAACGCCGCCAAGCAACGCCGCGGCGCAATGGGAGGAATGCAAGCCTGCAGGGCGCACCGCCTCTCTCGCTCGCTCCTCCCCCATTCCGCCGTCGCCTGCCCGCCCCCTCTCTCTCTGTCCTCTCACTCGCTCGCCTTATCCTCCCCACCCCTCCCCCCCCCTTCTCGCACGCACGTCGTCGCGGCTCTTGACGACGATCTCGTACTCCACGCGCAGCCCTCACCCCCCTCACTCTCCCGCTCGCCGTCCCCTCCCTTTCGCGTCGCCCCCCGCCTGCCCACCCCCCCCCGCACGCACATCGTCGCGGCTCTTGACGTTGAGCTTCTGGTCGATCTCGTACTCCACGGGCAGCCCGTGGCAGTCCCACCCGAAGCGCCGCGTGACGTGGTGGCCCGTGGCCGTCTGGTAGCGCGTCACCACGTCCTTGATCGTGCCCGCCAGGATGTGCCCGTAGTGCGGCAGGCCTGGAAAAAGGGGGAGAGGGGAGGGGGGTGGGGGGAGAGGGTGCGGGCAAAGGCGAGGCAGCGGGAGGGCAGGCAGGGACGTGACGCGGGGGGGAGCGGTCGATTTGCGAAGTGGCGGGAGCGCGCAGAGGGAGTCGCGTACGCGCGCATGACGAAGAGGGTCGCGAATGCAGCGAATGTCGCACCTCACAAGTGGGCGAAGGGATCACCTGTGGCGGCGGCACCTGTGGCGAAGCGCGGCACCTGTGGCGAGGGGCGGCACCTGTGGCGAAGGGCGGCACCTGTGGCGAAGGGCGGCACCTGTGGCGAAGGGCACCTGTGGCGAAGGGCGGCACCTGTGGCGAAGGGCGGGCCATCGTAGAAGACGTATTCCGGCAGCCCCTCGGTGCGGCGCAGCTGCTCGTGAAAGGCGTCGAGGCGCTCCCACAGGCGCAGCACCTTCTCCTCCTCGCGCGGGAAGCTGAAGTCCTTCCCCTCCACCACCGCCTCCATCGCCTACCCTCGCGCCTACCCTCCTCGCGCCTACCCTCCTCGCGCCTACCCTCCTCGCGCTTTGCCTCGTCTGCACCCCTTGTCCCGATGGTCTCCGCTCTCGGCGTGGAACCTCGCGTGTCCTGCGCGCACTGCAAGCGGGGCGAACGGCGAGATCGGGGAGAGCGAGGCGCGCAAATGGTGACTTCGCGATCCACGAGATGCCGAACGCGCGTTTCGTGTTCAAAATGCGGTGTCCTGTGAGTGCAGGAGTTAAAACCAGAACCTCCGGCGCACGAAGTGATTCTACGTCAGATCCTGCTTCAGGCTTTCATGAGTGTTTCATCATGGGAAATTATGTCAATCGTAACAGACATGGTGTTATGAGTTGTACTAAACTGAGTGCGCGGAAGACTTTATGAAAAGGATGAAACTACCGAATTACTGAATGACGATTGAATGAACAAGAGAAGCATTTATAGGGCGAATACGTGCTAGGCGAGAACCTCGTGACGTGCGAGGGTTGGATGTGTCGCGATTGGTGCGGGGCGACTCGGAAGTGGTTCGGGCCAAAATGTAGGCCGAACCGGAATCTGACGCGAAGAGCTCGGGGCTGTCCTCGCTATGAGCAGCATCGGCAGTAATGAATGTATATTCATTACACTCTCCCACCTTCTAGATAAGGTCCCCTCATCTGCAGTAGAGGCTTGCAGTAGCATGAAAACTGCAGATCTCGGTCGAAACTGATCTGACGGTGCAGAAGCACGTTGACTTTCGAGTTGACGCGTGGCTGAGCGCGTTGACCAGGCGAAATTCAAAGAGTTGGGATGTCAGCCGTTGATGCTGCCGATGTCGATCGGGCGGTCGAAAGCGAAGATCGAGATAAAATCCGCGAATGAATGATAGTCGTCGATGTAGCGATTGCGAATCGAACGGTAGTGGCGCTGGCGATGTTGGCCGGGATTCTGACACGGTGTCAGAGGTTGATGAATCAGGTGCCGTCGATGTCGATGAAGCCATTGCGAGCGTCCGTCGTGCTGAGTGTGTCAGACGAACTGTCAGAAAAAACTGACAAGTACAGTGCGAGAGCACTCTTTCTCCCCCCCTTGAAGATAGGGTTGCCCACCAAAATGGTACAGCTGCGCGGGTAGAATCTTCAACCTTCCTGTATGCCTAGGTTAGTCAAGACGACCAAGGGAATGAGTTCCCCGCGGAATTTTAGCAGGTTCCTATCGAAATTGTAGTCGGTGGCAAACTTTCAAGTCTCGATTCGTACTGCTCCCAGGGTGACCTGCGTCGACGTCCCTGAAGAGGGTAGAATCGTTGAGCACCGGGACGCGAAAACTCCTGAAAATATTTTCCTGGAGAAAACTGTCTTCTTGTCTTGTAGTTGTGACTGCTGCTGCAGCATCAAATCACCCGATTTGCTGCAGCATCTCCAGTTGTCAGCATCTGCTACCCTGAATTGCTGTCGTTTGTCTTGTTGCTATGGCGAAAATCCCCGATGTAGCGTCTCCAGCTGTCGGCGCCCCTGGCAGTCTTGTCCAGACTCGCCGAGGCTTTTGTCGCTATGTTCCGAAAACTCCCAGGCAGAGGCGAAAAACAGCTGCTGCTCTTCCCCCTGATCTCGCAAATATTTTTCCTAAGTTGAACTTGTCAGAAGTAGCAGTAGAAAGTTTAGAACAAGAAAGAGGGGTTTCACTAGCAGCAGTTGGGATACAAATAGTAAACCCTAACTGGGTTGTACTCGCTATAGAGCACCCCACTGCAGGCTAGATTGTCAGAAGAGCGAGGTAGAAGTTAAGAAACAAGAAAGAGAGGTTTCACTAGCAGCAGTTGGGATACAAATAGCTAACCCTAACTGGGCTGTACTCGCTATAAAGCACCCCACTGCAGGCTAGATAATATAACATTCTGACACACCCCCATAGCCAAAGTGGGGTGTAATCAGCACAATGAGCAGGCATAGCAGTAGTTCACAATTATAAGCAAAGCTAGTGGTAGTCACAGCGGGCAAGTGAGGAGGAGGGACAGTGAGAGGAGAGAAGATGGGAGACGACGGCTGAAACTGCAGACACACGGGCAACAGGAGCGGCTGGCACAGTGGCTACCGGGACAGCGCCCCGGACTACTGGAGTATCTGGCTCGGCGGCTACGAGGAGCGGCAGGAGCAACGGACCCACGGGCGACAGGCGCAGCAGGCTCTCTGGGCTACCAGGACAGCGCCCCGGACTACAGGTGCTGCGGACGACAAGACGGCAGCCTCCTCTCAGCCTCCCCAAACAGTCCCACCCCCCTGACACACACCCCCTACTTCACCCCTAACTCCACTCCCACGTCACCCCCCAGTTCCACTCCTTCGGCTCCCACACACCCACCCCCCTCAGCGGCAGCTGCAGCAGTGGGAGACGGAGGAGGAGGAGGAGTAGGGGACGGATCACACACCCGCCACCCCCATACCCGCCACCCCCATACCCCCAAACGCAGGGCAAAAACGGGGGCAGCAGCTGGGGCGGTGCGTGAGCGGAAGCGGGGCGGCGCACGGGCCCCCAGCGCGCCTCGACGAGTGACGGGAGGGGGGGACGCGCGCCCCCCCAGGGCGCCGCGAGGGGCGATGGGAGGGGCGACGCGCGGCCCCCCAGGGCGCCTCGACGAGTGACGGGAGGGGGGGACGCGCAGCCCCCCAGGGCGCCGCGACGGGCGACGGGAGGGGCGACGCGCGGCCCCCCAGGGCGCCGCGACGGGCGACGGGAGGGGGGGGGGGGCGACGCGCTGGCCCCCAGGGCGCCGCGTCGGGCAACGGGAAGGGCGACGCGCGGCCCCCCCGGGCGCCGCGACGGGCGACGGGATGACGGGGGGGGGGGGGCGCGCGCGGATCCCCCAGGACGTCGCGCCGGGCGACGGGATGGCGAGGGGGGGCGCGCGCGGGTCCCCCAAGGCAGCGCGACGGACAGGGCGGGGGCTGCGCGTGGGTCCCCCACGGTAGGAAACCGCCGCGCGCCTCGGGGCGCACGGCGGGCAGAAAACCGCCGCGCGCCCCGAGCGCGCGGCGGGATGAAAAAACGCCGCGCGCTCCGGGCGCGCGGCACGAACAAAGGGTCACGCGCCCGGGGCGCGCGACAGCAGTAGAGCAGCGGAAGCAGTTAGGTGGTGGGCCCACCCACAGGATCGACCCAAGGGGATCGACCTGCTCTGAAACCATGTCAGAAGAGCGAGGTAGAAGTTAAGAAACAAGAAAGAGAGGTTTCACTAGCACCAGTTGGGATACAAATAGCTAACCCTAACTGGGCTGTACTCGCTATAGAGCACCCCACTGCAGGCTAGATAATATAACATTCTGACATAGATAATATAACATTCTGACACACCCCCATAGCCAAAGTGGGGTGTAATCAGCACAATGAGCAGGCATAGGAGTAGTTCACAATTATAAGCAAAGCTAGAGGTAGTCACAGCGGGCAAGTGAGGAGGAGGAGGGACTGTGAGAGGAGAGAAGATGGGAGACGACGGCTGAAGCTGCAGACACACGGGCAACAGGAGTGCGCACTCAGTGGCTACCGGCGGCTAGTGCCCCGGATTACAGGAGTAACAGGCTCCGCGGCTGCGACGAGCGGCAGGAGCAACGGACCCACGGGCGACAGGTGCAGCAGGCTCTCTGAGCTACCGGCGGCCAGTGCCCCGGATTACAGGCGCTGCGGACGACACGACGGCAGCCTCCTCTCAGCCTCCCCAAACAGTCCCACCCCCCTGACACACACCCCCTGCAGAAACCCTAGCTTCACTTCCACGTCACCCCCCAAGCTCCACTCCCCGCGGATCCCACACCTCCACCCCCCTCAGCAGCAGCTGCAGCAGTGGGAGACGAACAAGGAGGAGGGGAACACCACACCCCCCACCACCGCAGAACGGACGGCGGCACGGGAGGAATGGGCAGCACGGGGGGGGGGGGGGGGGGAACGGGACAGGAGGGGCTGCGCGCTCCTCCTCAGGGCGCCAAGACGGACGAGCGGGGGGGCGCGCGCGGCTCCCCAGGGCGCCGCGACGAGAAGGGCGGGGGCCGCGCGCGGGTCCCCAAGGCCGCGCGACGAACGGGCGGGGGGCGCACGCGGCTCCCCATGGCGCCGCGACGGACGGGCGGGGGGCGCGCGATGCTCCCCAGGGCGCCTCGACGAGCAGGGCGGGGGCCGCGCGCGGGTCCCCAAGGCAGCGCGATGGGCAGACGGGCCCGCGCGCGGCCTGCAGGCCCGTGCGCGGCCTGCAGGGCGACGCGACAGGAAGGGCGGGGGCTGCGCGCGGGTCCCCATGGTAGGAAACCGCCGCGCGCCTAGGGGTGCACGGCGGGCAGAAAACCGCCGCGCGCCCCGAGCGCACGGCGGGCAGAAAACCGCCGCGCGCCACGAGCGCACGGCGGGATGAAAAAACGCGTCGCACGCCACGGGGCGTGCGACAGACAGAGTAGCAGCGGAAGCAGTTAGGTGGCGGGCCCACCCACAGGATCGACCCAGGAGGGTCGACCTGCTCTGAAACCACACGAGCAACCCACCCAAAAGGGAGGCGCTTTTCCGTGTGAAACCCAGAACTGTGGGTCTACCGGGACCGAATTTCACGGAACCTAGCCCGCATCAACGCCGCAGATCTCGCCGTAGAATTTCCCAAGATGGCTTCGAAGTACACCGTAAAACGCTTAAAACAACTGGCGAGCAGACGTTCACCCGTCTCCCACCGTCGAAATGAATCCCGAAAATCATGGTTGTTGAAGCAGTCCCGAAGTATTTTCCGCCGTGTAACCCCGACGTTTCCGCCGTTGACCCTGGTACTCCGACGTTCACCCGTCTTCATACCCGTCGAAATCACTTAGCGAATCCCAGGTATCCTTGGCAATACACCCCTCGCCGTGCCCCCAAGTGTGAAATTTCTGACCCTTCCGAAGTCCACCTAGTAGACCCCGAAATTCACGGTGGAGTGGTGTACGGGCTCAACCTTTCACTCAGGAGATCTGCTGGAGCACCCACGGCTTTCCC